GGCGGGGCGGGGTGGGGGGGCCTGGGACATTCACCCCCCTTCCCCCCGCTCCAGTCCCGGGCGGCGACCGCCGCGTCCTCCCGACCCCTCCTCCCCAGAGGCCAAGCGGGGGCCGGCGAGCTCGCGGTGACTCCCGCCCGGCCCTCCCTCGCAGGCGGCAGCCTCGGGTCTCCCGGAACGATGGTGAAGTTGGGGAACAATTTCGCGGAGAAGGGCGCCAAGCAGCCGCTGCTGGAGGATGGCTTCGACACCATCCCCCTGATGACGCCCCTCGATGTCAATCAGCTGCAGTTCCCGCCCCCGGACAAGGTGAGAGACCCCCCGGCACCCCCGCGCTGCCGGGTGCGCACCCCAAGTCTCGGGCGGCGGCCGCAACAAAAGAGACGCGCGGCGTGCGCTGGGGATGGGAAGTGGGGGCGAGCTCGGGCGGCGGGAGGAAGGCCCCCCCGGGAGGACAGCGTGCCCGCGCGGGATTCCGGATCGGGAGACAGCTCGGTCCTGACAAGGGAGCGCAGTCGGGGGGAAGGTCCCTTCTTGATTTTCCTGGGAGTCCTGTCCGAGAGAGGTCCCTGGCTCCACCGCGGCAGCCCCCCAGCCCTGCTCCTCCTCGCCCCTGCCCCACGGTAGCAGGGGGCTGTGGGTCGGGGGAGAGACTTGGGGCGCGGCTGCTCGGTGTGCCCGCCCAGGTGATGCGGTTTCAGCCCGGTTTGCCCCGCGGCTGTGGGGAGGCCCCTCTCCTCGGCCCGAGGGACCCTCGTTGAGGGGCTGGCTTCCCGTCCTCACCCTCCCCGCCTGCCCCTCCCAGGCTGGCTGTAAGATGCGGCAGGGTGTCGGTTCTGACTGGGAGCTTCCTTCCTCTCTTTGTTCCTTTTGTGAAATCTTGAAGTAAGTGCTCAGCTCGCTGGGTATTAGTGTAACTGGGGACAACCATTCATCATCCTTTCCCCAAAGCGGGTTTTTCTTTTCTGAATTTAGAGTCCTTTTTCTTGAGTACAGTATCCAATCAAGTAGTTTCTGTACGTGGAGGATAATCTTTTCAAGAGTTAACTTTTAAAAAGGTAAATGCGATGCTTTAAAGTCTCGACAATTGTATTGCAGAACTCAGACCTAAAATACTATACACAGCATCCCTCCTGACCATCTTGCTGCGGCCTTAAAAACCACCCCGGCCGCGAGGAAGCTCATTCTAGTCCCCGAAGTGCGTTTACATTTATTGTCTCATTCCGCCCTGGCGAGGACGTTCTGACTCAGGTCTTTGTCTTTTATTCCGGCATGTTGGTGACTGCTGACCACCGGATGGGGATGGGGGCATATCTATGCAGCGATGGGTCCTGCCCTTCTGGAAGATTCCTTTATTCCCATGTGGATCCTTTGACCTACTCAGCCCTCTAGAGTGGTTTCCACCCCCCCAAGTCCGTTGTCTGTGTTGTGGGTGGGGGGCGGGGGCAGGGGCAGGAGCGTCGGCTGGCAGCAGGTGTTTCGGTTCAGGAAGAGCATCGGCTTGGGCACACCAGTGCACCCAGGCCACGTGGGGCCACTTTGGGGGCACCGAGGGTCCGAGGAGGCTTGGGGGGAGGGGTGGGGCAGGGCTGCCTCTGCTGGCGCATCCCCTTCACCGTCTGGGCTGGTGGACTTGCTGGGCTAGCTCGGTCGGGGGCGGGGGGCTGCCCCCACTTCCCCTCCCGCCTCAGCCCAAGAGTGGTGGCGGTCTGTGCCAGGACCGCTGTGTCCCAAGGCAGCACCTCCGTCAGGTGACTCCCTGCGCTCAGCCTGAGCCTCCTCCTTTGTCCTCAGTCTGTTCCGTTCCAGAATTGTCCGGCACACTGTTGGCTTATAGCAGGGAGGGGGATTTCAGGCAGGGGTGAAATTCTGGCCAACCAATTGGGCATTTAGAAGTAGTCTAGGTAGGTCTGAAAGGTAATGAGTCTCCCATCCCTGGGAATATTCAAACAAAGGGAGGGAACTGGCAGGGATGGGCTGGAACCAGTGGTTGGGTTGGAAGATTTCTGAGGTCACAGATGAGGAGACTGAGTCTCAGAGAGTTCACAGGATGGGTCCAAGGTCACACGGCCAAAGGCCACAACCGCCCCCCCCCAGTGCAGAAGCTTCTGGCATGGGCCACACGTTCCATCCTGCTTGGGACGCGACCTCTCACGTAACTGAACAAGAGCGCCGTGTGGCTCACAGGCAGGGTTCGGGGGGTGATGTTGCCTGTCCCAGGTGCCGTGGCCGCTGGGGTCAGGTACCCCATCGGGGTCGTACGTGGTGCTCAGAGTGTGTACCGAGTGCGGCAGTTCGGCAGTGTCAGTGGTCGTGGGGCTCGCAGCAAGGCCCGGGCTGCTCTCACCTGACATCTGTCCATTAACTTTACTGATAGTGGCCCCGTTTTACAGATGTGGAGATCGAGGGTCTAGTCCAAGGTCACCGAGCGTGTTAGTGGCAGAGGCAGGTGAATCCAGGCCCGGAGCATATTGACCGGGTTCCCACCGCGCCGAGCGTTGTATGGATTCCCCCCTCCTCTCTGCAGCCGGCTGAGATAGGCCCTGTTCCCATTTCACAGGCCAGGACGCTGAGGTTCCAAGTGGCCAGGCAGGTGCTCAAGGTCACACAGCGAGTCAGGGACAGTTGGGATTTGAGGACAGTAGGGTGATGCACACATGCTGCCTCCAGAGCCGGGGGAGGGCACCCACAGTCACAGTAGGCATATCCGCCCTCTCGGCGTCCGGGAGCTGCGTGCACGGAAGGGACCGAAGGAGGGAAGGCACGAGTCTGATCACAGTTCTGTGGCCCCTGGATCACTTGTCGGTGGCGGCTGGCATGGGCCGCTTTCTCTCCCGGGGCTGGCTCCAGGTCACAGCTCAGTCCGAGAGCCCCTCCGGAGGCCCATGCGGGGCCCACCGTCCTGACTCGCTGCGTTCTGTGAGGTCTGCCCTGGGGCCCACGGTCACGGAGAGCACCGGGTGCGAACCTCTCTCTCTCTCTCTCTCTCTCTCTCTCTCGGCGGGGAGGGGGGAGAGTGTGGGGGTGGCTGGTGCTCTGCAGTCCAGCTGCTGCTTCCTGGCTCCTGGAAGCAGCGGGGGGGAGCGGGGACTGGAGATGGGCAACCCCATGTGCGGCGCGGACAGCGCAGTACACTGTCCCTGGCTTCAGGCGAGAGGAGGAAAGGGCTGTGAGCCTCGGAGGGAGGAGGCTGGACAGGGCTCATCGGGAGCTGCTGGGGATGCAGGGAAGGGTGTTTACGGGGCAGAGTGGGGCAGGTGCCTGGGTGGAGAAACCTCTCCCACTCCGCAGTTGAGAGCAGAGGGGAAGAGGAGCAGGGAGACCCTCTGGGGGCCATTGCAGGAGCAGGAGAGGGAGAGGATGGTGGGGTCGGGGCTGAGAGATGCGAGATGCATTTCCTTGAAGGCCTGCTCCTTCCTGATCCGCCTCGCCTCTCCCCTCGCTCTATCCACGGCGGAAACTGAGCACACTCCCTGGCCACTGTGTCGGGGGTTAGCCCTGGCACCCATTGGCTGGGTGGCCTTTGGCCGACGAGCTTCACTTCTCTGGCCCGGAGTTACCGTCTTTCCCTCCTGGGGCTGCTCTCAGGATTATTCACGGGCCACTTCTCTGAAAGTCCTGGCACCAAGATGTCCAACAAATGGTGGCTGTTCGCATTCTTTTTGTGACACACTTGTGGGCGAAACGGTGACTCGTCCTCGCCAGGCAGGTGTGTCCGCGCACAATCTGGCCGCTCTGCTGACGCTTTGCTTCCCTGTTTCCCGGACAAGGTGGTTGTGAAAACGAAGACCGAGTACGAGCCTGACCGCAAGAAAGGCAAAGCGCGCCCTCCCAAGATAGCGGAGTTCACCGTCAGCATCACCGAGGGGGTCACCGAGAGGTTCAAGGTGAGCAGCCCTGGATGGGGAAGATGCTGCTTTCGTGTCCAGGGCGTGGAGGTGGGGGGCGCCAAGCTGGCCCCTGGAGTGACTGGAACAGGACCCACCCCAGCTGTGCAAAACCCACCCCGTGCCTTTGCAAATTTCTTCTTTATTTCCTTCATCTTCCAAAACGACCACACATAACTTGGCGGGGGTGGGGGTTGTGTTTAAAAAATTTTTAATTTTAATTTATTATTTTTTTAAATTCCGTCATGATGAGCATACAGTGTTATGTGAGTTTTGGGTGCACAGTATAGTGATTGAACAGTTCTGTCCATTTCCTGGTGCTCGCCACGGTAAGTGCGCTCTTCATCCCCTTCGCCGACTTCACCCCTCCACCCGTCCCCCCTCTCCTGGGCAGCCACCCGGTTTGTTCTCTAGAGTTAAGAGTCTCACTTAGTTTTAATAACAGGGAAAACCCACCCCCAAAACTTTCTTTTAGACAACGGTTACAGACAGGTGAACAATCACTTACCAGACTTTAAGATCCTCACCTCACGGTTCCAGGAAGGAAGCAGGCTCACACAAAGCTAAGGCGGCCTACTTATTACCTGCAAGACCCGGTTCTGGGCCTCCTCCTTGTTCCAGCTGAGCTCAGGGAGCCTCCCCAGAGGTCAGGACTATCCGGACAACCCATCTTGCAGACGGGGATGTTGAGGTGTAGAGAAGTCACTGCCGTCCAGGCTCCAGAGGCCTGTGCTTGGCCTTCACCCTTCAGCAGCCCTGGCATGATGTGGAGGTGCGGGGCTTGGCTGGCCAGTGTGCCCTGTGCCCGGGCCGCTGGGAGCGCTCCCTCGTGGTGGGGGGAGGCCTTGCTCTGGACGGCTCTCCAGGGAGGAAGAGCTGCCGAAAGGGGCAGGGTTCCAGCCAGGCCAGGGGTGGAGCTGTCCCCAACGTCGGGCGGCCTTGGAGGGTGGAGACAGCTGCGTTGGTTGAGCAAGTCAGGATGCTGATCTTCTGGAAACTTGTTCTTTGAGAAACGCGCGAGACGAGAAAACGGGGGCCCTCACCCAGATTCAAAGGGGTGATTTGAGAGACCTTGCAGAGTGGCCGTGGGTGGCCTCCCTGGTGGCTCCGTGTGGCTGTGTGAGCAGCTTGCGGCTGTCTGGGTGCACAGACGCTTGGACCCCCAATCCCTGCAGTCCCCCAAAGCACCTGGGCATTCAGTGTCCCGTTCATGTCACGAAAACCCTGGGGCTGGTTACTAGCTGCAAGCGAAGCTCCCAGAGCTGAAGTGGCTTCGTGGGCCAAGTAGGGAAGCCCAGGGTGTGCTGTGACTCTGAATCCCTCCTTGGCATCGCTCCAACCTGCCCCACGGGCTGGAGAAACACGGTGCAGGGCCTGCCGGGCCGGCGGACCCCTCCAAGCTGCGATCTTTCGTGTCTGCGGGGTGTTCACCCGTGTGATTTATCTGCCCCGAGAGGCGGGTACGTCTGGTAGAACCCACTTTCTAGCGGCAGGATTGAGGTGCAGAGAGTCCTGCGTCTGGGGTTCCTGCTGGTGGTATGAGCATGGTGTATGGGCTGAGATGCTCCTCGGGTGGCTCCTGGCTGGGCAGTCTGTACGTGTCATTAAGTTCACGGCCAGGACCGGATCGGATTGACCCAAAATCAATCCTTCTTCCGCTCTGGCCAGCCGGCTTCGCGTGCGTCTTCTCTGCGGCTGCTCGGATGACCTGCACTCCCCGCGCCCTGGGGATTGCCTCCTGGCTGAGGCAGAAGTGACCTCAATTTCAAGGTCATCCTAGCCGTCATTCTGATGGCTGACACCATCTGGGTTTCTTATGCCTGATTTGACCTTTGCCCTTCTCAGCCCTGGCATTTTAGGTCCCCCCAGAGTGGGGTGCTACCCTTCATCCTTTGGGGTCCGTTGTGTGCCAGGCTCTGTCCCCCAGCTCCGGTGTCCTTCGTTCGTGTTTTTCCCGCACGCTCACCTGTTACGGGTCCCCAGGGCCCCCGCTGAAGGCATGGGTGACGCACATTGGCCACCAGGGCTCTCGGCAGCGTCGGTGTGGTTACCTGGCTCCAGGTGCCCAGAAGCCGAGGGCTCAGAAGATCTGAGCCCGTCCCTGTGGACGGGGCTGTGGTGGCAGAACCCTGCCTCGTCTCTGCCCCCACCTTGTGGGGGATGTCCAAGAAGGTGCTGTATACAGTAGGTGCTCAGTAGGGCACTGCATCGCAGTGAGCCCATTCCCTAGTCCTATACCGAAACCGTTTGGGCACGTTCGTATGCTTAGCCTCCGTGGCCTCCTTAGGGTTCACAACCACGCTGAAGGGGGCGGCACGGAGGCTTTGGAGTCCCAGGTGGTCTCGGGGGCCTGGGGGGCTTCTGACTGGTCCGAGCCTCCGAGGCCAGTGCCTTTCCACCCCCGCTCCCCTGGCCTGCCACACACACCTCCGCACAGGCCCGCCTTCCAGCTCCTTCCAGGGCCAGCTCAGCCACCAGCTCCTCCACGAAGCCTCCGGGGATTGATCTCACCCTCCTGGGGCCTCCGCTGTCCTTTGTTAGGAGCAGTAACAGGATGAAAACCGGGAGCGCTCCCACGAGCCAGACTCTGGGTCAAGCTCGTGAGACTTCTCGGCTCACTTAATCCTTGTAAAAACCTCGTGAAGTGTGTCCTGTCGTCCCCATTGGAGGGGAAACTGAGGCAGAGAGCTTGGCCCTGGGCAGCCTGCACCTGGCTGTGACACCCGAGGTGATGTGGCTTCCCCCCCGGGGAACATGTTTACACGGGCAGCTCTGCACTCCAGGCAGCCCACGTTGCTGCTTTTTCCATTTTTTTTTTTAGAGATTTTATTTATTTATCTTAGAGAGGGGGTGGGACGGAAAGAGAGAATTCCAAGCAGAGTCTGCACTGAGCATGGAGCCTGACCTGGGAGCTCGATCTCACAACCTGAGCCAAAATCAGGAGTCGCCCGCTCAACCGACTCAGCCCCCCAGTGGCCCCTGGACTATTGTGCGTCTAGGAATCCTTTGCCTTTGTTGATTTGAAGCCCTTCCTGGTAACCTCTGCCCAGGGCCCTCCATCTGTCCCCTGAGCCACACAGAACACAAGTCACCCTCCTTCCCAGCAGCCATGTACTTGAGTCTTCTCCGGGGGAAGTAAGCCTCACTTTGGTCTCTTCCTTCATGTCACAGCATCCGGGCTCCCCCTGTGAGGGGCCCAGGCTTCTCTTCAGGTGTGACCAGGCGTCCTGGCAAGGTCCAGTGGGGCGGCCTCTCTGCCAGCCAGGATAAGAGCCTGTCCTCTCTGGGGCCGTCCAGACACCCCCAGCTCGATGAGTCACTGGGTGACTAGCCGTGCTGCTGACCTGGAGTACGTGGTGACTTGGGGAGACTTCCAGGGTCTGCCTGGGGGACCCTCGCTTGTCGAAGAAGGCAGCTCCCAATACAGCGCTCTCTCTAGGCCACGGGTGGGTGTAAGCCCTTTCCAGGTGTTAACTCAGCAGTTCCCACTGGACGGGCAGACGACCCCCAAGGTCACAGTCAGTGGCAGAGCGAGACCTGAACCAGGTGGCCTGGGCCACTTGACTGGGAGGCCAGTGGGCCAGACTCACACAGCTGAACGCCCCGCGTTCGGTGGGCACATCAGGCTTTTGTGCCGACACCCTTCTGAGCAGGGAAGGAGATGGACCCGGTTCCCCATGCACCTGCCGCGGGGTCTGTGTGTGAGAGGCGGCCCCAGAGCACCGTTCCTCTAAGTGTGGGACCGCTAGCACTGAAATCACCAGAAGTTTGATTTTTAACCGAGGGACCCAAGACCCTGGGAACACGCACTGTGATGAGCTCTCCAGGTGATATACTGAGTTTGGGGCCCTTTGTGGATGGAGGTGCATCCTAGCGCAGGGGCAGGGGCAGGGCAGGCTCAGGAGAGCTGACGCCTTTGGAAATGCCAAGGGCGTTCACCCTTCTGGAATGTTCTCCCAGCCTTTTATTGCCCAATTATGTGTCTGACATCTTTGAATGGAACACCCAATAGGGCATGTTTGTCCTGTGTGGCGGCAGCCGGCTGAGGGCTGGGGAGCAAACCTGTGACGGGAGGCGGGGGGTGGAGGGAAGATCTGTCTCCCCCGGGGACGCGCTGGGGGCTCCGTCACAGCTTTGGTCTGGCCAGAACCTCTTCCGGGCAGCTTCCGTGTGGTGCCCGGCCTGGCCGTTCCTCGGCCCTTCTCATTTCCGTGCGTGAACTGTAGGGATGAAACCGTGTCTTTCTGGCTGTTGAATCAACAAGTAAATAACGCGTCCCCCTTTGTCTCTAATTTGTGCACTTCAGGAGCAAGGAGCTGGCTGCTTTGCATCTCTTTATATACCTTTGGATGGCATCCTTGAGGCGAGATGTCTTTTTGGATGTTACTTTATGGTTATCGCTCAGGGATGAATCTCTTGGCTCCGAGGTTGCTAGGCTGGTTGCTAAGTAACCGCTGATGGGGAGAGGGTTTTGTAAGACTCCGCCACACTGGGATTGCTGGATGAATCACCCAGCAGCGGCCAGAAGCCGAGGCTTCCGAAGAGGTTAGTATCAACGAGGAAAAAGTGCTCGTTTAATTAATTGGAGGTGGATTTATGCTGAGAATCAACACAGGCTGAGATGTTTCTCAAACTAAGTAAACCTAAACATTCTTCCAGTGGCGCGGTCCCGCTCCCCTCCCCCAGGGCAGAGCGGAGTGTCGGGGTGCGGCTGGGGCTGCTGCTAAGGGTGCCCTCCCATCACAGAAGCTGGAGGGGCCGTAATTAGGCAGATTAAAGGAAGGTTCCATCAGGTTCTGCTTTGTGGCTGCCCTGATGGAGAGCTGTTGAAGTGTCCGAGATCCACACACCTTCTCTCTGTGAGTTATAAGGGTTCGGGTGAGCAAACCACACGCCCTCCGCCTGGTGCCACGGTGCCCTCAGGGCTCTGGGAGGGTCTGAGCACCTTTCGTGGTCCGCACGGAGCTGGGAGGATGTCCTGGAAGGAGAGTTTGTCTGAA